TGTGAGACTGTGGGCTCGTCACTGGCATGAGTGAGTCCTGTTGGAGGGACGGTTGTGACTGGCGTGAGTGAGTCAGGCTAGTTGAATTGTCCGTCAACGGTGAATTGGAATGCCACGTCAGTATTGGTTGATTTGAGGTAGGAGAGTTAACGTTGCAGTGGAAGCAGGATTAAATATTGGGAAAGTGGTCTGGGTGCTGGCACTCATAGAGAAACTGCTCTGCTGGATTGGTGAGGAACCATGACCTTTGCTCGAGGGACTGAGGGGTTGGTGATGTCCATTTCGCTACACGACAGGATGCCGATTACGAAAATCTGCATATCTTGGTCTTATACCATGATAAAGTAAAATGCAGTTAAAGTCGAGAGATGTTTGATAATAATTGAGCTGGGGCACACTTAGCAGTTGCGAGCTCATGTCGCAGGTAACCAATGTCGCAGAGGATTCAGTTAGTGGATTAAGTTCTAGCTGCTTCGACCTTCAGGACCGGTTCCATATGAGAATTAGAAGCGGGAGGCCAGAGTGAAAGGAATAGTTTATTTTGTACAAAAGGAGTAGGGATTCGGTTGCAAGATTTCAACACTCGAACTGGTATGCATCCGGCCGTGAATGCCGGCATCTGACGTGTGAAAGCGCGGGCTCGTCGCAAGCGACTACAAAACGATCTTTCTGCGAGTCAGCCCCAGGGAGGTGATTGACCAGGTCGGATTGCATCTGGTCACGGAAGGCCAAAAGTTACAGTTTGCGGCACCAATGATTGACTGTCTTAGAGGCGAGTCTAGGCTTACGATCACGTGGCCTCATGACTGACTTCTCGCCGGAGGTGATTCACTACAGGTTTATTAAAGCGAAAAATGCGCTGGACTGGCACACAATGAAGTTCTTTTCAATTGTGTCCATAATATTGGGTGCATCTGTAATACATCGGTGCTATGTCCTGATAAAGTATAATGGGAACGAGATTGAAGGTGTTAAGGGAATGGCAACCGTAATTGAGTCGTGACCGTGTGCGTTAAGAGCACGAGCGTCACAACAGGTAAAGCCAAGTGCACACGGGAAAACGGATAGCCAATCAGCATGCGCTGTTGGATGACGTATACGTGAATCCCTTGCGTAGAATGTCTTCTGTCCAATTTCTCACGCTGCTTATAGTTCATATTAAGCGCACCATTCAATGAACCCGATAAACCATCTTATGTTTTCCTAAACAAATGTATGGTTTCCTCACACCGAATGTATTTCATCAAATGTAGTTTGTCGTCATTCAAGCCTATCTTCTATTAGGTGATATATCTATAGATATCTATTAATGCATTATAGGT